GCGGGAGTCGAACTCATGCAGAAGTGGCTTTAGCTTCTTAGTGCAGTGCTTTAACCTGCTGCGCCACCAGGGAGGGCCTGTATTTACACTTTTAATGTTTTCTTTCCAATAGACTATTGCAGATATCATCCGAACATGTTTGGGGCCCAAGTCCATGATGAAGGTAGGTTTATCTCTTGATGAAATACTCAAGACTACAAATTTTGCCACCAAATGTTATCTGGGACAGTTAAATATAACTTTTGCTTTTGTCTTAGATGCTTTTGGACCCAATGGGAGGCATTGTGATGACCAATGATGGCAATGCCATTCTTCGAGAGGTGTGACTTTTCATTTTGTTTTATAACAGTTCTTAGAGGACCCAACCATATAATAATAGAAATGATGATTAGTTTATTAGGGCTGTTGTAACAAAACTACCACAAGCTAAGTGACTTTTAAACAAAATAATTTTATTTTCTCATAGACTGGAGGCAAAAAGTCTGAGATAAAAGTGTCAGCAGGACCACACGCCTTCCAAAGTCTTTAGGGAACAATCCTCCTTGCCTCTTCTGCTTCTGGTGATCTGCAGCATTCTTTGGCTTCTAAAACTCAGCTCCCATGGCATTATCTTTGTGTATCTTTTATTAAGGACACCTGTGATTGGATTTAGATACCCTAATATCTAAATCCTAACTTACTAGATCTGAAAGATCCCATTTGTAGATGACAGTTAAGTTCACTTTTCAGGTGTAAGGACTTTGACATATCTTTTTAGAGGACACTTGAATCATAGCAAAGAGACAATGTTTTGTTTTTAAGACACTGTAAATAATTGAGTTGGCATAAATGAAAAAAAGAAAGAACTTGGAAATACAGTTTGCTTAGATGTTTGGAGAACTACTGCAATCTATCAAATTGTAGTAAAGCAAAGAAAAAGAAAGCAATGGAAGCTAGACTGTCTTAGAGTTAGTTTGCACCAAGAATGGGTTGAGGTCTTTGAGTAGTAGTGATTCAGTAAAACCTTGTGTATTTTTCTTTTCAGATTCAAGTCCAGCATCCAGCAGCCAAGTCCATGATTGAAATTAGCCGGACACAGGATGAAGAGGTTGGAGATGGGACCACATCAGTAATTATTCTGGGTAAGAGGAAAATGGTAGATTGATAAAATTGAGTTGAAATGTAAAGATTTTTGCCAGAATAGCTTCTTATATTTTAAGAACAAAATTCTGTTAACAGTCTACAAATTATGAATATTGAAATGACTTGTTGATAGTTTTTTTTTTTTGGTACTTAACTGAATTAAGTATAAAACATAATATAGGACAAGCTGTGAAAATCTGGTTAAATAAAATCTAAAGTATTCTCATTCAGTGTAAGTTAACTACGTTCTGCAAAGTTACCATCAACACTAAATTACTGAATAGTAAGCTACCACTCTTAGAGGAAATACAGGGTTAGATTCTCATATTTCATCAGCTTGTGTATATACATATTT